CTCCTAATAACCCCCCTCTCTGAACTGGCTCCATCACTCTGCTCTCCTCCCCACTGAGAGCTGGGGTGTGGGGAGCGGACTGGCGCATCATCCAGGTGGGGGTACACACTGCTGGCTGGGGGTGGAGGGGATCCCCATTACCTGTAAAGCGCTTTGAGTGGAGTGCCCAGAAAAGCGCTATATAAGTGTAAGCAATTATTCATTATTATTTCAGTGCAGTTTGAATTCCACATAGCAGCAGAATCTGGTTATTAGGTAGCCGGACCGACATCTTACAGTATTTCTCTCTTTCCAGGTCTCAACACCCCTAATCCTCTCTCTGAACCTGGCTTAGGGATTCACTACAGAGCTGTCCGGACTGATCCTCAGGGCTGGCTCGCTCACTGGCAGGGGTTCGACTCGCATGACCCGAGCTAAGCCAGATGCATTTTTATGCATCGCAAGTAACCTTTCTGCCTCTTGTGTTGACTACGAAACCAGGGAGGAAACTGCTTCTTTTCTATTTGAACTGGCTCCATCGCTCTGCTCTCCTCCCCACTGAGAGCTGGGGTGTGGGGGGGAGCGGACTGGCGCCTCATCCAGGTGGGGACTGCACATTGGTGGCGGTAGTGGGATTCCCCATTACATGTCAAGCGCTTTGAGCGGAGGGTCCAGAAAAGTGTATACAAGTGTAAGCAAATATAATTATTATTATTTCTGCTCTGTGATAGGACTCAAGTCAGGATGTGAGCCCCCCTGCTATGGAGAAGCCCAGATTGCACCCAGTAGTGCACAACGTGGATCATTAAAACTAGAGAAAAGTGATGGGGACTCAGGCTGGCTCGGTTTAAGGAGAACTTCACGAGATTTCGCCGTCTTCGTGTAGGCTGCCTGGCCCATTAGCTCGCACACATTCAACGCGGACGAGGTGGAAGAAGCACAGGCAAGGAGCCGACAAGGGGGGGGAGGAGGGGAAAGGAGGGATGAGAGAGAAATATACCTCGTTCAGAAGGTTTTGAAATATGCTTTTGTTTGTGAGTGTCTGAAAGAGAGGGAAAAAAAAAAGAGAGAGAGAGAAAGAGAGAGGGAGAGAGAGCAGAGACAGAAGGACTCAGAGTATTTCTCACAAGACACGGGAAATGAAAAGAGACACATGCCCCACCCGGTCCCAACCCCCCCCCTCGCACCCCCATCCCCCATAAACCTCTATTCTGGTTATACCTTTGCAATCATGTGGCAAACCAAGTTCGATCTAGTGCACGCCTATCTTTTTTGGGGGGGATTCGTTAAGGGGATGCCGATCGAGGAAAAACTGGACCGATTCATCGCGTGCCTACGGGTACAAAGAGCCGCAGGCGAAACCAGAGGAAGAGGGCATGATGGCGAACTACCCAGAACGATGCGTCCCTGAAGACACAGTTGGGACACACTGATCTGAGCTGCAAGTCAGCTTGATCTTTTACACAGCTGTAGATTAGAAACAGCCCCTCTTTTTCGTTTGTGTTTTAGAGTCCCTGCTGATTAACGGCACTGCACGCATGCCCTGCATTTGCATATTCTTACTGTGAACGTGTTGCCACTGTCCAGTTCTCAATATGGCTTCCCCCTTTCAAAACGCGAGTTCGTGCCCGCTTGCAATTTCGCGATTCGCCCCAAATGTAAGCTTTAGATGGTTTTTTTTTTAACAGATTGGAACAGTCTTGGGGGGCGGGGAGCGGACTGATTGATCGTCCACACGGAGTGGGCGATCGGTTGTGGAGGGACAGGGGGGTCACCAGCGCTGGGCGGGGAGAGCACAGAATTGTGACGAGGTCAGGTCGGCTCCAAGTTCATCGGAGAACACCCTCCCCGGAGGTAGGCCCGGTTAAGAGGAACCTGAATTCAGTCAGGGCGCTAGGGATGACCCGCGCCACCTGACAAACCAAGATTCGGGCGACTGCAAGCAGGAGACCTTCGACGCCAAGCCCCCCCCCCCATCGTCGCGCTCAGGTGGTGAGGCGACAGCGCCACCTGCTGGACCGCCGTTTCTAGCGGCTCTCTAGAGTGGGGGCCAGTGCGCCACACCGCAACGCGATTCCCAGCCAGGAGATTCCAAGGAATAACCAGACCTACCGGGAAAGCGTTTGGCAGCGTTTTCCCACAGAGCACCGGGCCCGCGGCGCTGTATCCAAGTCTCCTGTAGCTAAGCCCTCCCATCGATTTGCCCTGCACGCCGACAACACCATCGGATTTCTTTCGCCCCGAAAGCCGCACCCCCGTTTCCTTAGAAAAGCTTTCGACTCGGGCGCCGCGTTCTTTGTCGACGCGGCACCCCCACTTTAAAAGGGACTTCCTGCCAGGGTGTGCCGCCCGTGAGCCCCTATCGGCACGGATCACACCCAGCGCCTCTTAAAACAAAAACAGGGGAAAAAGGAGACGCCTCTCGGCCTCGTTTCAAACAATCTGACAGCACTGTAGAACAGCCCAATTATTTTTTATTTCTGCCACCTGTAGCCAGAGAAGATATTTTCTTGTTTTCCAGTCCCGCAACCCACTCTGTCAAAAGAACCCCACTTTTGTCTTTCGGTCTTTCCGCCAGGTGTTCAAAAGCTTTGAGGAGGAAATGTGGTGCAAGCAAGGCACAGGCGGACAGACGCGAGGGGGTGTGCTGGGGGGGGCGTCTGTGCTGGCTGACACCCCCCCGCGATGCACCCCAGAACTCCTCCTCCTCCTCCGGCACCCGAGGGGCAGGAGAGAGAAAGGGTGGGTTTCTTCCCCCTCCCTTTCTCTGATCCAACGACCGCGGCTGAAAGCTCTGGGTCTGCAAACCGGTGGGGGGGGCCTTGACGTGAGCGGAGGGCGTTCCGTCTTGAGAGCGCCTCTGATCTTAAATCCCCACCCCCACCCACCACCCTCAGTGCAACGGAACGGGCTCGGCCTCGGTTTTGGCTTCGGAAACGGCGCCCGGCGGACTTCGCCATCCGGAACACAGGAGGGGAGGGGAGGGGAGGGGAGGGGGTTGGCACAGAGGGTGCGAGGCCGGACCCTCTCGCCGGCACCCCCAGGAGCAGCGAGAGCGCGATCTGTTCGACCGTGCAGGGTGGGGCGCCGCGGTCCGCAGACAGAGGGACACTATCGCCCCCCCGTCCCCGGCCCCTGTGGTCCCCCAAAGAAGCCGCACAGACTGGACAAAGGCAGACGGAGACCGGGGTGCCTTGAGGGCTTCAGTCTCCCAGCACCGAAACTGTCTTTCAACCTGGGGGTGGGGGGACACAGCTCACGGCTCTCGGACGGAGGGGGGGTGGGGGTGGCGGGGGTCTGTACTCACTGTCGCAGGCGTAGGGCTTGTCTCGGTCCTCCATGGCGGCGGCGGCGGCGTCCAGTTTCTTGCGGGCGCTGCCCACGCCCCGGCCCTGCGGACACCAACGGCTCCGGTTACACAACAGCCCCCCCGCAAAAAAAAAAATCAAAGCTCTTCATCGGGCCCCATCGGAGAGCGGACCACCCCCGGCAGGCGGGCGGGCGGGCAGGGTAGGGTTGGGGCTCACCTTCCCTTTGCCTTTCCCTCGCCGCTTGGGGGTGTCCTCCTCGTAGTCTTCGTCGTCCAGGTCGTCCAGGAAGTCGTCGGGCTCCAGGATCCGCTGCGGAGGCGGAGAGAGGGTTTCGGGGTACAGTCAGAACGCGCCTCCACAGCCAGCGATAACACCGCCGGGGAGCCCCGGGCCTACGGACGATCGCGACGGGACTTAACCCCACGGATTAAAAGATCGGTCAAAACGCGTAGGATTCGAGAATCCTTTTTGTTACCGGGGTGCCTGAAACCCCCGCCCCCTCTGCGTTCGTCCTCCGTGTGGCTCGTCCCTGCCTGGCCGGCGGGCAGCACCGATGCCCGGCTGACCCCCGACCGACCCCCGACCGAGGTTCCCCTTCAAGCAGTTCATACAAACACTGGGTCCTGGGTTCGAAACCCCGGGGGGTGCTGTCTGTGTGGAGTCTGTATGTTCTCTTCATGTTTCTGGGTGCTCTCGTTTCCCCCTACAGTCCAAAGGCATGCTGGTGGGTTCTGGCCTTGGTGTGTGTGTGTGTGTGCATGCACCCTATCTGGGCAACCAACGGGCACAAGGCAGGGTACAGCCTGGACAGGATGCCAGTGATGAAGCCAGTTCAGAGAGGGGGGTTATTAGGAGGCCATGATGGGTAAAGGCCAGGGGGG